TTGCTTCTTGTTTCTGAATCTCATCCTCTGCTGGAGAGATGGAAGCTGCCTAAGACAGGATGTGTAATTTCAAACGCAGGAGGAACAAAGGTCAGCAGACTGGAATGACCTCTGCCCCAGCCCAGGAGTTTTCTCGACCCCAGCTCCACCACACCGTGTATGCTTGCCTCCCCATGCTTTCTGTATTCTTCTGTTTCTGCTACCCATAAAAGAAATTCTTGCTCCATCCTTTCCTGGGGCACTAGACTAGCGTCAGATTACTTTTTCAGCTGTGCCTGAATTAGGGTGGGGACTTTCCTGTCCTTGGTGAATCCCATGCTCTCCTGTGATTGCTGAATGTCAGCTCCACCACACCGTGTATGCTTGCCTCCCCATGCTTTCTGTATTCTTCTGTTTCTGCTACCCATAAAAGAAATTCTTGCTCCATCCTTTCCTGGGGCACTAGACTAGCGTCAGATTACTTTTTCAGCTGTGCCTGAATTAGGGTGGGGACTTTCCTGTCCTTGGTGAATCCCATGCTCTCCTGTGATTGCTGAATGTCAGGGTCCTTGCGAGGACTACAGCACAGCACACACCAATATGATGCTCTGATAGCCAACTTTATTTAGGGCACCTAACAGTATTTCTAGTAAAATGTTTCCCGTCCATGCAGCTACACACTGATCACACAACTTTAGATTGGTTGCTCAACCTGTCAATGCTGCAGTTCTTACTTATGAGAGGTTACAAGTTTAAGCTGCATCCCGCTCTCACATCCTGGGAAACTGATAACAAGAGCTACACAGTGTCCATGAGAACCTGAACAACAGCACTATTCCCAGCTTGTTAGCCAGATGACTTATCTAGAAGGCAGTAAAACTAAAACTAAACCTAAAAACCCCTGGCAGCAGGAAAGAGCAAGACCATTATAAGGTGTTGGATTGAACACACAGGAATGCATGAAGACAGAAACAAGGTCAGCAAGAGTCTTGTTTTTAATTGCTTAGGCATTCCTTTAACCATTGCTCAAGTTACAGCTTCTCTGCTAGCCAGGTCCCAACAGCTGCAGAAGTGTGTTCATCCTTGTGCTGCAGAACAAATGCTCTGCACCCCAGTAAAGCCTCTTCTTTGGTCCTCTCCCAGATGACATGCAGCTCTACCCTGATTATTCAGACTCCTACAGCTGCCTGATGGATGTTGTATTCACCTGGAGAATAGCATGTACCGAATATGGGGAGAACTTGTAATGTTATTGGTCTGTGCTAGTTAATACTGGGACAAACATTTGCCTGGATCAACCATTTCTGTAGTGTCCTGGTGCATTTAGTGAGACTGAAGTTTAGCTTTTGGCTGGAAGAAAAAGGCAATTTTAAATCCAGCTTCCTATATGGCTGGACAGTAACTGAAGGAGCCTACCAAACCACCTGGGGTTTAGGTACTTATGATTCTCTGTATAGGAAAAACATCACCAAAAAAAGATTCCTTTATCTCATTGCTCTGGTCCCATTAAAAGGCATCTGTCATTAATGACTCTATTTACAATTCTATCATCACCTAAGATTTTTCCATACATAAATTTCACTGAGCTCATTTCTAGTGCATGACTCACTGAACTCTGATTTCCTTGAAGATTTTAAGAGGAAGAAACAATGCTTTTATCCTCCCCTCCTCTCTGCGAAGGAATCTTATGAATGTATTTCTTGTTCTAAGTTTGGAACAGGGATATAATTTGTGTGTGTATGTAATATGATTTTTATCATATCTTGTTGAAATCCACATAAAATGACCACATAGCTGTGTCATCCCTTCATCTCTGCCTTTTGCTGAATTATCAGAGAGTCACTGAAAAAATAACTGCCATATCCCTGGTGTGGGCATTTAATTGCTTCACTGAGACAAGCCCGGCCTCCATCCTAACACCCTGTCACCCTGACATTTTCCTGTCTTTATCACTGGGGTTTTTTTGATAATGTTCATCCAAACCTCCCCCTCAGTGAGGTATTTTATGCCTTTCTGAAGCACAGCACTGTGCACGTATTGAAGACCTACAAGATCCCCAGTCACTTTTCTTGATGGAAACAAGTAATCTTCTTCAACTCTTTCCTCTTCATTCATCTTAGACCTTTGATTGAGTCTCTGCTACAAGAGAGTTTGGCTTCCTCTAGAAGAATTATCACCCACTGCATCTGAAGGTAGATATGTCACTACTTTTTCCATAGAATTGGTTCCACCTGAAAATTTGTCTTGTGCTTCTGAGTTAACACCGTGGTTTTTCAAGATATGTCAGTATCACATACTTTCATGACTGAGTCTGGACCTGGTTTGCTGCAATATTGACACTGAATCCTTCAACTGATCAGACACGTTTTGAGGAGCCTGAGGCAAGAATTCAGTGCAGAGAATATCAACACCACTGTCCTGAATTTTGATGAAGTTCTAAGCAATTGAAAGTCATTTCCTTTCAAGTGCAGGAATACCATGCCCGCTTTGGCTATGACAAATACGATCCCATCACACAAGAGGCTGTGTTTGGATTGTAACAAAACCAGGTACCTACATTTTGTCTGAATGGCTCTATTCACACTGCTTTACAGCAGAAAGAGTTGGTGGCTGCTAGGTAAGCACAGGTGTGTCTGGGATAGAGAATTAAACAAACCTGCTGCTCAAGCTATTTACTGGAGGCTATTTGAGAGTACCTGGTGTATGGGTGAAGAGAGCTTTCCTGAAAGCCTGCAGTGTTAGACCTGAAACTTTTAGCCACAACCATTATCTCTGCATCTATTTCTGTTTTTACATTCCTTGTATCAGAGGGGGAGAGGAGAGATTATGCAGGTGTTGTCACCTTCTGTTATTTATTTAAGCTCCTTCCACCATACTCTCCAAGGAGAGTCAGGGCTGAATGTAACAGCAGCTGTTTGGGGCTGGTCTGAACAAAATCTCCATAGGCTCCAGGTAGATTTAGGGAATGAAAGTTTAAGGTCTTCCTAAGGTTTAGAGATTTGTTTTTTCTGTAAATTAATATCCAGTTGTTAGCAAAGGTCAGTTATGTCTGAATTTAGGTAGCAAGTCCTTCAAACTGGAAGAATCTGGTTTTGTACACCACTGTGCTGCCCATAATGTGTAACTAGGAAGGAGCTGTAGCTTCTCACAACGATACAGATCCATACGTCTCCAAATTCTCATGTTGGTAAAGTATATATAAAGTATATATACACACTCCAGACCTATTTTATCTGGCATCCAGAAGAAGAGAACAAGCAGTATATCACCCAAATTTTTCTCCTCTTATCCCAAATCCTGTTATTTTGTTGCCTCATAGACTGAAATTCAGAGAGCAAAATCTTTCTGCATTTTGTGATTTGCACAGTGGAGAAAACTACCGGTGCTCAAGAAATCACAGGAGTTAGTTACTCATTTTTGCCTTCAGCTTATGAAAGTAAGCATCAATATTTGTCAGGAGTGGCCAGCATAAATATAAATGTTATTTGTTTATGCAACCCCCCTTTTTTTGTTAGAGTCTAAAACCAGTTTGTGGTTTTGGTTTTATCTCTGCAGTAATTATGTTAATGTGTTTTGATTCGTGCTTGCAGGCACTGCTTATCAGACATTAGACAGTTGCTGCATTTGCTGCAGTTGAACATTTGCTAATACATTAGATGCCTGATTCCCCTTGTAGTGTTTTTCTGCTCCTGTGTGTGCAGTTCCAGATTAAAGATCTCTGTGCGAATTCAATTGAATTCAACAAATACAGACTCCATGTTAAATGAGAAGATTAATGGTTACAAAGACTGTTCAAGGGCTCTCAGTCTGCTCAGCAGGGTTGGTCCTGCTCTTGTGTCTGTGGTGGAGTCATAAAAGTCATCACAAGTAACTATTTTTAATTCAGTGGGTCAATGATTTGAAGGTGGTGGGAGAGGTGTGGTCAAACCAGACCAAGCAGTTTAGCACCTGGAGGAATGGAGTGGTACCAGGGGTATGGACATGAGGTGTCTCACCATGGCGAGTGGTCACAGCCTGTCTGTACAGCAGTGGGACAGCGTGTGATGGATTGAAGATTACCGACGGGCAGCTGCCATGGCTGCCAGGAGCAATGGAGCAAGGAAAGCCCACGTGTGAGGAGATCAGCCCTGCTGGCGATACCCCTCAAGTCTTCCCTGCATTGGTCCCATCTCAAGCACACCGGTTCTGTCCCATTTCAGACTGTCCATTAAGGGGTACAAGCAGGAGCAGGAGGGGAGGGCTGTACTGATGAATGGAACAGGAAGTCTGCAGTGTTTGACAGAACTCTGCATCCTTCTGGGTGTCCTGGGGAGCTTGCAGGGACCTGTGATCTTGAAGCCAGACACTGTGACTGAGTAGGACGGAAACATCCTTCAGAAGATCCCCATGCAACAGATACAAGATAGGTAACTTATCTCTAAAACCCCCAATTTGGTCAATAAAGTAGCCTAAGAAGGGGTTTCAAATTATGTGTATGGTGACTATCTCTGCACGTGTCTCCTATACAGTTAAACAGCAGCTCAGGGCTCTGCTGATCAATAGTTAATCTCCAGAATGAACTGGGCTTGTTCAGGAGGTGAATTCAAAATAAACACAAATTCTGTTTATCCTTAATGTTGTGGTCCACTTGTAGAAGAAGAAAGGTCTCAAAAAAACCAAACAAACCAAACCACTACTGGCCTTAGGGCATGATTTGAACAGCAAAGGGATTGCCCTCCCTCCTGCCTTTCATCAAAGCTAATGTTACCAAAAACCTTCATCCCAAAATCAGTCAGTAAAATGAGAGTAACAGGGAGCAACTACCCAAGATATCTGGGAGATTACTCAAGTAATACCAAGCATTCTGATGAGGAATATACATGTTACTCCATTCTGCTCCACAGCTGGTTGGTGGACTTCTAGTGTCCCAGCACTGCTGAGCACCTCCCATCTGAAAGAAGCGTGCAAAGACATCTGCAACAAAATTAGGTTTATTTGCTTTCTCTGTGCTCAGGCAGATGTCTGTCTCTGGCACTATTGCTTCATGCTTTCATGCCCCCAGTCATATCCTGGTTGTTTTGGTTGAGGTCTCCTCCATGAACTCCCTTCTTGCCCATGAGGAAGATCAAGATTTTGGGTGTCTTGCCAATAATAGATGTATCTGTTGTCAGTTGCTTTGCTTCTGACACCCATCACATTGTCTTATCCACTAGCAGGTTGTCACAAATCACGCTGCACTTTTTTCCAGCTATGGTGATTCCTGTTAGCAGGAACGTTTTCCGATCATGGCCTGTGATCAAGCCTAATTCTTGAGGCAAGATGGCTGTGAGGAGCCTTCCTGGTTTGATTGCCCACTTGCCAGAGAGGCCTGCAATAGCCACATCTACAGTGTTCCTGCCCACCAGGATGCCGCTGATCTAGTACTTCCAGCAATCCATTCTGGAAGGCTGTCCGAATCTCTCAGAGTTGCTGAACACTGAGCTTCTCCATCTTTCACCTGCTGCGACTTTTGTCTCAGCACACTGATCCTAAAAATATCAGTTTGTGAGTTTGGTCTCTAGACCCCTACAAACCTGAATGGGGGAGCCGGGGGAAATCAGCAGCCAACGATCCTGCTTTGCCTGTGAGGAGAGACCTGTGATGACAGTGGTGTGTGCCACTCCAGCCCGTTCTATGATGTTATATTTACCTTCTAGCTGAGGATCCCACAAAGTGACTACCCTGCCAACAGGAGGGAAGCTCTTGGAGTGGGTCTTATGGTTTTGGTAGCAGGCGGCTAGGGCAGGCAGATGTGCCAAGGCAGCCGAGCAGCACGGGACACCCCTCCCACCTGCGGTGCTGCCATTTGCTGCATTCCAACACCAGCTCTTCGCCTCCATCCACCCGTTCCTCCCTTCTCCGAGTCGGACCGAACACATCACTTGCACGTCCATGTATTTCCACACAGCCCACGCTTTTCCTGCAAACACTGCTTTTAATAAAAGCCTCGATACCAGAAGAAAC